GGAGCCTCTGCATCTAGAAGAACCTGCCCTCTGAGTCAGAGGTTCCCAGCTGTTGCAGGACTCAGCCAGAGTTGCTGCCTCCCAAAAAGCTAAGCTCTAACCTTAGCAGGAGCTGAAAGCCAAGCTCTGTTGCCTCTTACAGAGTTGGGATATTGTATTTTTTTTCTGAGAGAGGCAGTGGCTCTGAAGCCATCCTCCTCTTTGGCCTACAAAGAAAATTGCTGGAGCAGTGGGTCTCCTGGAATTTCAATGAGACTTCTGCATATAGCCACTTTGCCCAAATAGCAGTGATCTGGGGATGCATAAGACCAGAAATGGCAGTAGGGTGTGCAATCTGTAGTGATCCACTACTATCAGAACTGGAAACCATTGCAAATGATATTTCTTAGAATATTTCAAATTCTTAGTGCTTTTCTCAGATAAACCCTCATCAAGAGAGCCTCTGGCTTAGTCTGACTTCTTTAGGATATGAAGCTTATGTGATTGTGCTGGCTAGCAACCTGTCCTTGGTAGATTTGAACCCATTGGCTAATTTTAACCAAATGGGACAGACACATTATTCTCCTCTAAGTTTTATGAAGCAGGAGTCAAGACTAAGTGTTTTTTATAATTTCTCACAATGTTATTGATGTGTATAGTAATTAACTTTTAGAATTTTTCTCTGAAGTTTTTATTCTGTTGTTTCTTTTTTTATGCACAATTAGTCTAAAATCAATGTGCTTCTTGAACCAAAAATCACTTTTAAAAGATATAAGATGATCTAACATGCGGTAGTCACAGTTTTGTTGCAATGATCTATGTTGTGTGAATAACAGCTCTGGTAGCACACTGATTGATGTAATAACAGGAAATTATTACTTGGTATCAGTGTAATTCAGAACAGAAAATAGCCCTTCATTCAGAAGGTATCTATAATATTTAGTTCTATTTGACACTGGTAAAGGTGGTAAAAAGGGCAAAAGATTCACTCAGTGAAAATTGCCTCCTTTTACAGAAATTACAAAATGGGAAAACGGGAAGAAAACAATAGCAAAGGTTTTGGAAGGATGAAGAAAATGACCTTTCTCTTATTACTACTTAAAAAAAAAAACAACAAAACAAAACAAACAAAAAAACCCCAAAAACATGTTCTCTGTTCTACGTCTGTTAAGGAAGAAACAAGTTCTATACATGTGAGGGGAAAAAATAATCAAGAGGCTTCTCAAAGACTTAAAGAGCAAACTACTTTCAAAATGATAGTTGCATATTAAAGTTCTATGTGATCTTCAGATAAATGCAAACAGTGTCATCTTCAACCTGTCTCTGTTAGGTTAACAATGAACAGCTGAGATGCAAATATTGAAGGGTGAGGTACTGCTGTTGAACACAAAGAAAAACTCTAAATAACTTTTCAGCTCTGTGACAGTGTCCTCATTTACCACCAAAACAGCATTAAATCTTTAGCTCAGTGAAGCAATTCACAGCCTTGTTGGCAACTGGAATGCCTCATTGCTTCTGGATACTCAGACCTGTCAGTGTCCATACTCTGTTGGAAAGAAATTTGTGCCTTTCCCACTCAGAATTAGATTTAGCCGCAGAAAGCCTTGCATTTGTGATCTTCATTCTCAGTTACGGCAAATCTCTGTATTCAGGGTTGAAACACTGATCTCAAAAACCTAAAATTGTTTCCAATACAGAAAAATCAGTAACAGAAGTTACTGGTGTTACTGCATGTTAGTGGTTCCCTGGCAAATATTGAATTAGATTCAAAGACAGACATCTTCTAACTTCTGCAAAGAATCATTTCTAGTCAGCTGGATCATGACACTCCCCCAACAAAGCGTTTGCTTTCTGTAATGTCAGAGTTTCACTGGAATTAGTCCAGTGTAAGGGAGATAAATTTTTCTGGTAACTTATCTCCTAAGCCTAGAATTCAATGCCATTGCTCATATAATATTACAGATTTTGTGTACGTACTTGAAGATGGTCTTAAACAGTATGTTCATGCTTGATGTTACCTGGGAAGCAGGAAAAAAGCTCACTCATTTTTCATGCAGATGGACATCAATCTGTGAATGCAGTGGTTTTTAATATTTGATTTTATTATTCATTAGTGAGTTGCTGAAACCAAACCTGGCTATACAGCTTCAACACAGAAATAGCAGACACACTTTTTCCTGCTTCATTCATTATCTCTCAGTAAACTTGACAGTGAAGGGAGCCACTGCAACTCCAGACCGTTCCAAAATACACTGCAAAATCCACTTTTATTCAGTGTTTTTCCTGATTATACAGAATAACCATTCTTGATGGTTTACGGGTTTTGTTAATTAAAAATAAAATGGGTCATCCTACCTCCTCAATTGTATATAAGGGAAATTTTTACCATTAAACACATAGTAGAATCCTTAGGATTTACCACTTGTTCTCAAAATGAAATCTCCAGTGACAAAAAAGCAATTAATTTTTTTCCCAAGCCCAATGTTTCAATACTCTCATTTGTTTAATCCATATTACCATTTCCTTAAAAATTCAAAGCTTTTTATTCTGGTTGAGAACAGTATTGTCCCCTGTGTTTTCATTTAATTATTATGAAATGCAGTTACAATTATAGAACAGAGTACATGTCGTCGTGTGAGACAGCCAGTGGTAATCCTGTGTCTCATGTATCAATTCAGAGACATTAGAGACAGTTTTGTTATCAATGCTATTGACTTGAGTACATTTTAGATGAGCTTCATTGTGAGTTTTTCTGATGGTGAATCTCTGGTGAGGACTAGGCATAACCTAACAGCTACTACAAATTACATTAAGCCTTTACAATTAACCAAACAACAAATAAATCAATGGAGGAATTAGTATGTTGAAGGGTCACCTCAGTAAGAAAATAAACCATGTAGTCACAGAGATGGCCATTTTTCAAGCTAAGCTAGAAAAGGCAGGCTTCAGACTAATTCTAATTCTTCTGGCTGAGCAGTGAGATTTAAAATTCCTACGGAATAAAAAAAGACTAATAACATTCTTGACAAGGAAAATTGGGAGAATGAGAACATCAATTGTAGGAATGACTGATAAAATCATTTAATTGACACTAACCTAAAGATAGATTTAGACAAAAAGTATGATGGGCAAGTGATGGATTAAGCCTTTGAGTATACAAAGAGGCTTTCTTTTGCATCTGACTCTAGTGGAGATGAAGAGATCATTTTACTCTGTAATTTGACAAGAAGATGCAAGTATTGTGAAGAAAAAATGGAATCAAAATTACAGGTTAAAATACATTGTTTCAAATACTTTTTACAGCAACCTGAAGAACAAACTGCAGTCAAAGATAACAGAATTAACACATTTTTGTAATATTGCTTGAATGCAAATTTTGACATCTCTTGATATAACTTCTGTGGTTTTATTCAAATAACACCAAGAAAACATTTTCTGTTGCAGAGAAGCTTTAAGTTTCAGAAATTACTTTTGGGAAGTTAACAGTTGAAAGCTAGGAAATTTCAGCCAGAAGAGCATTTTTGATAAGGTAAAGGAAAACAACACTTTGCAAAACTTATATTGCTATTTTCCAGATCTAGCTAGTCTAAATTGTGAGGATCATGTAATGGCTGACAGAACATCCTCAGCAAATGATAAAAAGCATCAAATGAAATCTGCAAAGTTGAGCTTCCCATTTATATACATTAGCATTTAAGAATTGTGTAAAATAAACTTTATTCAAACAGTTTTAGATCAGTGATCCAATGACATGGCTAGACTATTATAACCCTACTGCTCCTGACAAAAGAGGGTAGGAAACAGAACTACAAGACACAGCTGCTGTTTCTAGCCTGTATTATGAACATTATGCTATACTGAAGTAAAAAAAATTGTTTGCTTTTAAAATGGTGAACAATATGTGTATTGCATTGTTCGATAGCAGTCTCAGCTCCACATTCAAGTTCACACACACACTGTATAAAAGTTTGCAACGAATCTTAAGCAGCTTCAGAAAAAGGAGCTGGAAATATAACTTATTCTGTGCAACATCTGTGATGCTTTTCTTGCTGAAAGATGAATTTGAGGGACGTAGTGAATAAACTCATCTGTTGCAGAGAAAATATGATTTGGCAGAGAAAAAAAAGGGAACTAACATTGGAATCTCTGCCTTATAATTCAATTTTGCACATCCTGATGCCAGCTGTAACCACAACTAATAAAGGCAAACTGGTGAAACTTCACTGGTTATAAATTACCAGGCTGGGGCTAGTAGGGAAGAGCTACATCCCTAGCCTTTCACATGTAACCTTAAAAAAAAAAAAAAAAAAAAAAAAGTGATAGATACAAAGCTTTTGACTCAGCTCCTTTTGCTCTGATGCTAGAGCAAAGGGTGGGGGGTGCTTGTGTGCGTGTGCGTGTGCGTGTGTGTGAAGTCCTCGGTATTCCCAAACACAAAGCCCAAACACTGTGAATCTTGTTAGCCAGCATCACACACAGACGTTTGTATTCAGCTCTGCTTCCATACCTGAGTCTCTGAAAAGTGATCTGTATTCACTTTATGCTTTCTTTTTCCCCACGACCAACCAAGTCTTTGTGAAGTTGCAGCGGGTGACAGGCGCAGGCCAGGCTGCCCAGACCAGAGCTCCTCTCGCTGCTCACCAGCCTGCCCAAGGCCGCCGTAATCAGAGGTAATTGTCCAGGCTGTTATCTCCCTGCAGCCTGCGTCGTGCTTCCAAATACCTCTAATTGAATTGCTATAATTTTTGCCCTTCCTAATGCAGTGGGTAGGCGAGGGGGAAATGACCCAGGAGAGGCGGAGGAGAGGGGAGTGGGCGGCTCTCGGCTCTCCTCCTCCCCGCGCCCCTCCTGCGCGCTCGCGCTGCCGCCCATAAAGGGCAGAGGCAGTAGTGGGTGGGCGTGCAGGCTTGCATCCGCGCGCCGTGGCCATGCAGTGAGTGCCCGCCGGCAGGACTGCAGCCGTGGGACAAGCCGCCCCGCCGCCAGCACCAGGTGAAACGCTGTGAGGGAGAGGTCGTTGCGCCCCAGCTCAAGGTACTCCTCTCCCCACCTCTCTGCCTCTCTCCCAGTGGGAATTTGGGTGCCAAACCGGCAACCACAGCTGCCCTGCCCCACGGGAAAAAGGTTCACCCCCACTTCCCACCCGCGGTGGGGATGCTCACATGCCCTGGGGGTTCTGTAATTGGAAGGCAAAGCGATAACTCGGAGCATTTACCCTAGTATGGTTTCTTTCCAGATGCAGAGGTGTACTAGTTTCGTGTTTCTGTCTTTAATCCTTTGTGCCACCCTGTCAGAAACGTTTGGGCTGGTTTTCTCAGTAAGTACTAATTTCACTGTTGGAGGCCCTGTCCATTGGGCAGCATCCATGTCTCAGCTGGCAAGAAACAGTAAGCTTTGTAGCGATATACACTATATTTAGATATGGGGGTTGGACAAGATGCAGGACTCAAAACATTTTGGGGAGTAAACAGGTTTTTAGTTAAGAATTTGAGGCTTTTGGCTCCCTTGTAACAAATAAGACTAAAGGGAAAAAAGAGTGTCTAGTTTATGGGCCAAAATTGAATGGATGTCCCATCTGACTCAGAAAAGGTGGTGTACATATGGACTTTTTTTTTTTTTTAAAGAGGCTGTCATGTAAATCTAAACAATTAAAAGAAAACATTGCTGTTTGTTAAGGTGATTATCAGGTGATAATATAAACTTGGGAGTATAAAGTCAAAATTTCTGCCTCCAAAGTGTGATTTGCAGTTTTACTTATGTGGTGTTTCACACCACATGGATGTCAATAGCAAAACTACTGACTTAGATGGGGAGGGGGCAAGAGTTCACTATTAATATTTGCTTCAAGATTATTGGCTTTTAATTTTTACAATATTTCTTCATTTCAAGCCTTCAGAAGACACTTTCTTCTGAAGTCCATTTGGGTGCTGTTTGCTTTGTCTTCAGAAAGCACTGTGTAGTTCATGCAATAATATACTTTGTTTTTCTTTAAGGCAAAAGAAAAAAGGGGCTGGACTTTGAATAGTGCTGGTTACCTACTTGGGCCACGTAAGTCAAGCACTTTTTTGTATTATTTCAAAATGCAGAAGTTTTCCTTGTAAACCAGTTTGCTGTAGTGTGCTACTCACTTTTCTGATGAATACGGTAATTTTGTCTAAACCTGCAAGACTGAAGAAACTCATTTGGAGATTACTTGTTTAGATATTTGTTGTATGCCTATTACAGAATTGAGACAAAACCTGTTATTTTCTAAAGCAGAGTTGTGCTGTGAGGCTTTATATCTAGAAGCACATCTGGTCACTCTTTGTGCTTCTGAACTGTAATTGTCATATGACAAATACTTCTCCCCCACCCCTGAAATGTTACAAAATCTTGTAGCATCTTAGATGTCAAGGAAAGAATAACAAAATATGACTTTTTGGCACTTCTCAATGTATTTCAGATCTCACCTTTAAATCTATTTGAAAATGGCTTTACTACCTGGATGTATTATACTACTTTTTTTTTTTTCAATTAAAGCAAAACATATTAAACAATAACATGTAAAGTCATGACTGTAAATATTAACAGTTCACTATGTGAAAAATATTTATTGTTTAAAATATAGGAACACAATGGTTTACAAAGATGGAGAATAACAAATGTAGATTATAAGAAAAATGAAATGCAGTGCTAAGCTGTCTCAAATATCTATCCTTTTACCATTACTTCTTGTTAATGTAATAACACTCATTACCAACGGTTCTGTATTTTCAGTCTCAGTAACACGTGACAAGTACTACAGATACTTACCATGACTCTCTTAATTCTTTTTAACTAACCTTAAGGATACCTTAAAAAGAAAAGATTAATGCATCTTAAACATATTAACTGGTTCTGTAAATGTCTGGCAGTATATTTGCCCTGAAGCAGATCTAACCAAATTGGCAGAGATACTATGGGGAAACATACTTGTCAAAGTGCCATTTATCTAAGACTGCATAATAGGAATCATCCTTTGTTGCAGGTCGTATTGATCAGCTTTTACTGATACAGGAAATGTCCATTGCAAGGGGGAGAGAAGAGGCACCAGGGGCATGTAAGATAGTTCACATGAATAACCTTCAAAAACTATCTGCAGTTTTGTTTTAAGCAAACTCATCAGCAACATTTTCTAAAAATAGAGGAAAGCATAGCAAAAACAACTTCCCAGATTACACATGAATGTACAAACTTACATTTTCTTTACAACTTCCTCTGAATTCAGTAATAGCTTCAGCAAGTGTGTAGTACAGGACTGGGTCTATAAATGATATAAATCATAAGCACATATTCAGAAGAAAGGTTATTTTATTTAGTGACACATTAATTGCTTCTTTGTCATTTTGTACATCAAAAGTGCCCATTCATGATCTTTTCTTTGAAATCCATGAAAAGCAAACAATATAGCAAAGGTTGTTATTAAGTCAATTAACTCTTCTGATTTCAATTTATTTACCAGATGCAGTAGATAACCACAGATCTTTTAATGACAAACATGGTTTCACTGGTAAACGTGAAATACAGCCTGATGAAGATATCAAAGCAGGTAACAAAATTCTGAAAGCCAGTATTGTTGATTTGGTCTTTTTATGTTTAGTAATTTATTTACTGTTCTTGAGTTAACTAATTACCTAGATACAAGGCTATTCCTGCACTTTAACAAAAATCCTAATAAACATATGAAAGGAAGAAAAATGAAATTTGGCCATTTGGCTCTTTGTACATGGTCATAGTTTAAAACGTCTTGGTGCCTAGGGAAAAGTACCATAATTGTGTTGCTTTTAAAGTATAATAGATTATATTACCTTGAATAAACCTAGTGCATAATGGAAAAAAAAATAGGGAAAGCTATAGAAACTGTCAAATGTTTTTTTAGTTGTTTTTGTTGTTTTGGTTTGTGGGGTTTTTGTTTTATACTGATATTCCAGAGCTGAAACCAGACCTCAGAACTGCATGGCACTGTTTACATTGTAAGAGTCTTCACTATTTAAAAAAACCAAAAAAATTTAAAAAATTCCATGTGAAGTCTCACAGTATTTCCTATATTTAAGCAAAATGGATTATCTTCATTAAAAGATTGAGAACCTGGTCAAAACCGAAGTCAAGTCAACATATTGTTTTGAGGTTGCATGTATCAGAATTTAGTAAATGGCAATGAAAAGGGTACAACCTTGTTCTGGATTCATCATCCAAAGCTGGGCCTCTACAATATATGTCTAAACTCTCTTTACAAAGAGAAGTTGGCACTTTTAGGATTAATTTTCAACACTTACTTCAGGACAAGAGGTAGTAACTTCTAGAAAAACCTGTTTCTTTCTCCTGAGCAGAAACTAAATCTGCTGCAGGCATCTAAAGTGAGCTGGGATATGAATCTCATTTTTAGCCTGTCAAAGAGTGATCTGTTCCTCACTGCAACCAAAGCAAGCAGTATGTACTTGAGTACTATTGCGTTCATCACTGCAGTAATGGAGGAAGAGAGTCCCAGCCCCAGAGCTCTTGCAGGCTCTTTTAAATCCACCCAACACAAACCAAATGTAGCTAACACTAAATATGTTCATAAATAAAGGAAATGTGCTTAATTACAATTTCATGGGCATAATTACTTTGTAAACAGAAGAGTAACATTAATGCATTTCTTAGCTGTTACATTCTCAGAATGACTTCCAGTTTAGTTCTGGTACACAGTTACGTAGTGGGGTTTTGTGTGTGTGGTGTTTTTCAGTTGGGTGGTTTGTGTGGTTTTGGTGGGTTTGTTTGTTTGTTTTGGTGGTTTGTTTTTAAGAAAAAAAAAGGGGGGGGGGGGAAGAACCTACTTCCTCAAACACAGGTGTAAAAATATTTTTGCCAGTCAGAAACAATGTGAAAGGAAGGCTTTTGTAATGCAGCTCATGTCACAACATGTTGCCATTTGTGGATATACTACCAGCTCCTTTACAGGAACATGATCTTTAAGAGTTATGGAACCCTGTTGCCAGGGACTGCTGTACCTCCACAATTACAAATAAACCCGACCAAACTTGTCTGGATGGGACCTGAAAATTATGTAACTGCCTCTGTTATGAATGTCATTTTAGATTCTCTTCTCTCATCAAAAGTTTTCTTTGAAGCTGAAGTTTATTATAGAGTTCCCATCCAAAGGAGATTTGAATATAAAAAATGGATAAGGTAGTCAGAGTTCTTATTTTAATTGAAAAGGATTTTTTTTTTTGTTAAATCCTGCTGATTATTTACAGAAGTATCTTAAAATGGCATTACATTATTACTGTAAAAGAATTCATGCAAAGGACTGCTCTCTCTCCTTGAAGGAATGCTGCAAAATTCACAAGCTCTCCAGATAACCTAGAAGAACTTTTAAGCTCTATTAGTTACATAACACCAGGTCCAGAAAAACAAAACCAAAAAAAAACCCCCAAAAACCAAGTCTATGAGCATAATTAGGAAAATCTTTAATTTCCAAGAGCATAACTGTTCCTTTACTAGAGTCTGCAAGTAATTGGCTATACAGAATTAAGGTCAATAGCAGAGTATATAGAAATGCATATGTACAATATGTGCAAGTCACTAAAGAAAAATATTTATCCAATAAATATTGCATTGGAAATAAAATCTGGGTCAATAAACTAGTAATAATGATTAATCATAACAAAAGTAACAGGTTAGGTGGGAATAAAAATTAAATTAAGGAAAACTTAAAAAAATACAAGTATTATAAATGTAAGCAATAACATCTTTGTGTCGGTTCAAAGACTGGAAGATAAAACTTTTAGACGCAAATTTCTTAAATGCATTCTTAAATGCTGACTCTCTATATATCAGAAACCTGTGTTGCTTACAACTACCCATCAATATTTATTTGTGCTACAGAGCTCAGTCTGCCTTCTGACCTGTATGTCACTAGAGGCCTAAATCTCTTCCATCATGGAAGAAGTCCCCCAACATTCACCTGCTGCAAAGCTAGTCTTTCAGACTATTTTCTGAGATTAAACACATCCATTATGATAAGATGAAGGGACAGCATTTTCAGTAATGTAATAATGGACTGTCAGTCAGATACTGACATTCAGGTACCCATCTGTTCTGTATGCAGAGAACTAAAAATCTTAGAGAACAAATGGTAGGTAATTTCCCTAATATAGAACACTTCTCCATCCTGTTGATAAAAAGCAAGATGTCTCCCCCCCTTTTGTTTTCCTAGTAGACACAGAAAGCATGCTTCTCAACCTCCCAAAGTGCAATAACAAGCTGCCAGAAAGCCTGATAAATTGGGCCATTTAAAAAGCATCAAAAAGCCTACTTCCACAAGATCAGAGATGTATGTTCTATTAGATACATATGCAGAAACATACCTTTCTGAGCTTTTAGTAAAATCCCAGGCCTAGCTTTTGGGCTACAAATCACTTCTATAGCACTTGTGTGGCTTATTGGGAACAAAGTCAAACTACATGAAGAACAAAAGTTCTTCAACAGTTAAACTGTTTTGCAAAGCTGATTAATTTGTTTCTTAAATTTACTTTTCCCTTCAATCTCAGGCTAGCTAACACAAAGGAGGGAGTTGAGAACAGAGGATAACTCTCTTCTGCAACAGAACTCATAAGGCCTTAAAACCCATGACCATTAAGGTATCAAAGCAGTTCCTATGCAGCAATAGCATACAAAGCTGGGCAATTTTGATTCTGAGAATTGCAGTTACCTACCTTGAAGTGGCTTTGCTCTTCCATGAAATGAGGTTTTCCATTAAGGATTTTAAGGAAAAAGAAATTTCGGATAGCTTTTTTTTCAGAATACTCATAAACCTAGCCACAATGTCACATACGATAGATCTTTATACCATGTTAACATTAAGTAACAACCAACTTGTTTTACAGGAAATCTTGGAAGACCACTGGCTGATGAAAACATTGTGCGCGCAGTAATTGAATTTTTGACTTACTTACATCTTAAAGGTTAGTGAATACCTTTTTAATCTTTCACGCTTTCTGGTGTGAAATTTACTGAGAAGATAGGACTGTCCCTGAATGTACAAGTCTACCACAGATTTGAGTGTGCAAGACTTTGAACAGCATCTCTGGTTGTGGTGGGAACTGTCAATTCCATTTTGGTGCACTTAGGAATAGGCCTGATTTAAAGAGCACAGGTAGTCCTGCCAAACTGCAGGTCAATGAATATCCAACATAGCAGGGTTCTAATACCATTTGATTACTCTGGGCACTGTGAAAATAATAACAGCTCCTACTAAAATTGTGTGGACCCAGCTTTTAGAAGAGTTGAAAACAAACAAATACAGTCTGATTACATGGGAGTTAGTATAAAACAATTCAATCACACATTAAATAAGACCTCAGTTTAATGGCAAGAACAGTTCATTGAAATTCTGAAACACTTGTTAGTGACAAATGAAATACACTTCCCTTTCTGTCTGTATTCTACAATAAAGTCACATCATAAAATTGCAACAACACTAAGCTGAATGTTGGCAAACAGCTCAAAATGCTGTGGAGTCTCAAAACTGTAGAAGAATTGTAAAACTGAGCTTACAGCTGATTCTATAAGAATGGTAACTTTATTATAACATTAGGTGAAGAAATCTGGCTGCTTCTAAGTTTTCATTAGTTTGCTTTTAACCCTCCCCCCCGCCCCCCAATTCTGACCTTTTAAAAACCTCTTCAGCCCTTCTAAAACTGTCTACAAAGTGTTCAAAAATATAATGTATACTTGCAAAGAAAACGACAGGAAGGAAAAAAGTTATTTTTACTGCAAATGTTTGAGGAATTCTCTGTCTCAGCAGACAATTCAATAAATCTGTAAATTCTATATTCTTACCTTTGTATACAACAAATTATAATTTTGTGGCAACTGTATGCTGTGGGATAGTAACAAAGAACTGTGTGTTACATTTGTATTTTAATTTCATTATTAAAAAAGACTTTCAAGAGATATGTTCATTTTCTGCATATCTAGGAAACAAAATTCCAGACCTCTTTGGCATAATTTTCTAAATGATTTGCATCCACTCAAGCGAAATAATTCTCACTACTGAAAATATCAGCCAGTGTTTATTGAATCAACTTTGCATTTGAAACAAAAACTCTTTATGGTTAGTACTAAGGGCCTGAGATAATTCAAATATATATTTAAAGTATACTATTAGCATGTATATTTACTGTGGACAAACTAGTAGCTTGTTTGTTGTGCCACTGTGAAGAAGAAGGAGCCCTAAACACTCCTTTACCCTGCTATGTGAGCCTAGGAAGTAAAACCAATAACTGGACACAACAGAAAGGGTGTGAAACATGTTGAGCTTAAGCATGCAATCTCTGATGAGCAGGCTAAGAGCTGCTAAGTTGGGCAAGAAAATAAAATACATCTCATAGAAATACAAATTACTTTTTCCCTGGGATGAATGAGCGAAAAAGGCTGTATTATAACGCTAAGTAACAATTCCTTGTTTAGGACAGTGATGACAAACTGCCTTTTTTATTCAGAAAAGATGGTTTTATTATCTGTCCTCATGAAAAAAAAAAAAAAAAGGAATGTCCAGATCATATAAAATGGCTTTTCCCTGAGATAGTTCTTGCATTCCCAGGTTTCAAGACATGGAATGTTATTGTATTATCCCTTAACAACATTTGTTGGCAAGACCTAGTACAAACTCTTACACAAAATCAGAACTGTAGATTTAGGAGATGAAAAACACACTGTATTATGGTAGAGATGCTTTAAGCTTTTTGCTCCCAATAAACTTTACTACATTAAATATATTGGTTTAGATATGGTCCTTTGCAGGGAGGGGGAAAATTCCCCCTCACAGGATTCAGATTCAGGGAATGGTTATCCAGATCAGACATACATTTCGATCTGCAAGATAAAGTGAATATTTTAACTGCTAAGAAGTATCTTGGTGATAACTAAAAGTGGCCTTCAGCTTTCTCTTGAAAATTGCTCCCTCCAGCTTTAAAGGCTTTCCATATAGAGCAGGCTGCGTAGGATGGCAGCCATAATTGGATAATAAAACTTTTGAGATGCTGGGATCCAGTAATATCAATTGACATAATTTCATTGTCATTCTGTCACTGTTGTTTCTAAAAAGGTGAAATTATAGCAGGATTATTAACATTCAAAAGAAAAAAACAATTTATAAATTATAATATGAGAAGTTCAAGGATTTGCCTCTTATAGTTGAGAGAAGAAAATTATAGAAGTGTACTACTGAAATTGGATTTCATTATTTAATTGCTAAGATTATTATGCATACTTACATATGTGTTAATTATCTTCCCCCTTCCCCCCCCCCCCCTTTTTTCAGAGGTGGGAGCACTTGACAAACTACCTTCACCAGAGAAAACAAACCAGTCTTGAAGAAGAATGCATTTTTGTTTTGTTGTAGTGTAGATTTAGGTTGAATTCTAAACAAAAGATCTAAATGAGCTGAAGATGAGAAGTATTGTTTGCATTAATCTGATAAATGGTAAACAGCATTCTGCCCTCTTTTCTTTGTTTGTCTGGATTTTTTTGTTTGCTTTTTCCCTCCTTTCCCCCCCTCTTGTGATGTTATAGTGTAAAATTTTTGCCTTGGTAAAATTTTTCTGTAGGTAAATGATAAAATAAAAATGAAGAGCAACTACATTGTTTCATTTTAAAATTAAATACATACCAGCACACAGTACATCATATACAAAACCCAGGTTAAATTGTAAGATTACACTGCATCTATACTCAGTAAAATTACAGTGAAATAAAACATAAATACTACACGTTGGGTGCTTTAGCTAACTGAGAAAAAGAATAGTGACTTCAATTTGCTGCCATACAGAGCCCTTTTAGGTCACAAATCTGTCTGTACTCCTACACTTCATGGATGCCTTACTTCCTGTTCATATTTTCATAGACGTGAAATAAACTTGTGTTCATTTTAAATTTTATATTCTTCACCTGTAATACACTAGCCCATTGACCAAAGCATACTTTCATGCAACACAAATTTAACTGTTCTGTACAGGTAACAGGTTTACACAAAGTCTATCTGTAGGATTCCTATGTCCTCAAGAATACTGGATCTGTATTCTTTAATGAAGAAACGCTTCCGTCCACTCCAAGATAAAAAAAATATTTTATGAGATGCTTTAGTCTGAGTCCAGCAAAGCACTTGAATACATGCTTAATCCCTATGAATGAGCTTTGATGTACTGGGACCAGAATGTTAGGCCCATACACAATAAATATATCAAGAATGAGGAAATGTTTGAGAGGATACAGAATCTTAGAAAAGTTTTTTCACATTCAGATGACTTCCACTCTCTGCATAGTGCAAGGAAATATCATCCTTTCAAATGCTGTGCACTAGAGTGCAGAGACTGACAGAAATTTTGCAGGACACTATTATGTAATCTGTTTTTCACTTTTAGCATGGCAGAATACATTCTAGATGTCAAGCCACTACTGTCTAATTTGAACCCACAAGGTTATCTCACGTTGTCAGTCAGCCTGTGCTCTTCCTCTGATAATCACTCAGCCTTTGATCTAATGTCTGATGTTCACTTTCCAAAGTGTACAAAGTACACTTTTTATGAAGTCCAATGAGCTATTGAGCAAGCCCTTCAGACAACAGTTTACTGTTTTGTTAGTGTATTAGTTAGTGTTAGTGCATTAGTGTACATTAATACAGTACATTATTTGGTAAATTTATGGGCTTCCAAAAATGTGAAAAAAGAATAGAGTGAAATGTAACTTCTGTACATTAGTATAGTTCAGTAATTCCAAACTCTTATTTGCACTAGTAATGTCCATGTTTCCCATCATAAACTTGAAGCAGAGCTCACTAAAATTGAGAGGCATTCTCTTCATTGACTTCCATGGACTTTGGTTCATTGACTGCTAAGAACTAGTATCCATTTGCAGAACTCAGTAACAAGTAAGTCATCTTTCTGTGGCAAAGCAGCTGAATCTATGATCTAATAAAAAGAACATAATCTTAACATTGAGTTTCTTTTATTTTGAAATAGGATAAGAAATTGAGTTTAAAATTAGAAAACAGTTATTACTTAAATCAAATTAGCAAACTGTCAGCTAGTTAAAGTTGGAATGGTCTTGTTAGAATGTTTATTTGAAATTCTGAAATTTGAGATTATTTGAAATACTGAAAGACTCATAGGATCATGTTCCTTGGAAGATTTACATCACTGTCTAAGCAGGGAGTCTCACAAGTTCTTACTCATTATGCTGTACTACTATATGCATATATTATAAAAGCCACAAAGGATCACTATAATCTAATTGCCAAAAGCAGTCCACATACTTTCACTTAATAATTACTGCATTCAAACACATACTGGTAATATTCCAAAATACAGAGCAAGCAGACTGTTTCTTCACCCTCTACAGCTCTTTGCAAAAACAAAGGGGCATTCTTCTGGATCAATTTCAGTAACATTATTATTTTATTAACATTCTTATTTTATTTAAAGCATGTCTTACATCGCTACACCTCAGACATAAATTCTGCAAATATTTGGAATGACATCTCCATAATCAGCCTCTCAGACAAACACCTTATAAAAGATGGCCTTTAATCCACAGTTTGAAAGCAATTAGTTTCAACAGGGCAAAGCGACAATAAAAAGATGTGGCAAGTTTCAGTAGAAAATAAAAAACATCCCTACGCCACTTCCTGCTCATTTCATTTATTTGCTCATTTGCATACTTTGTATCCCACTTTTGTGTAGGATTAGATCAAACACATATCTGCACTGAAGACAAAAGCCAAAGTCTAAAAAAATGAGTAGAACTTTGTTGTAATGTTTGCCAGTGATATGAAATTACCCAGCATGCAAATTTAACTCTGATAATGAACAGAAGGCTTGCATGATGCTGAATGACTGGACAATAAAATGGCAGATGAAATTAAATGCTGATGCAAGCAAAGTAAAATACAGAGAGAAAAACAACTCTAATTTTGCATACACATAATGATGGTCTAAATTATCTCCGGAAAAATAGCTTAGACCCATTGTACATAGTCCTCTAAAAATGTCATTTTAAACCTCAGCAGCCGTTAGAAAGGCAAATGGAATGTTAGGAATTATAATGAAAGTAGCCAAAACCAAACCAGAAAACATCAGTATGCCACCATTCCCAACTTTGACACCAGGTGCAGTTCTGGTCAGCTCATTGCAAAAAAAGGCACTGTAGAAGCAGAAAAGCTATAGAGAAAAGTGATTAATATCTTCAGCAACAGGGAACTACTTTTATACACAGACTAAACAGGTGGTGACTTTAGCTAGGGAAACAGACTAGTAAGGAGAGAGATGAGAGATTCTTAAATGTTGTCGTAAAAGCGCTTAGCGAATTCACTACTTCTTGTAACCCAGGATTTAATGATAAGTAACATTTTTAAACCCCACCTCCAGAAAAAGAAGTCCTTTTCCATACAGCTCATGGTGAAATTGTGGCACTGACAGGCACAGGACATTGTGGAGGCCATAAGTTCTGAAAGGAAACCGTTATATTCATGGAAGAGAAGTCCTTCAAGGTCCAAATGAAACCACTACCTCAAAAAGTGTAATTAAATTGTTTCTTAGAACAATTATGGACATGTGTGCACAAAGCTATAAAACAACCCTTAGAACTTGATCAGGGTTTAAACAGGGCTTCTTCATCAGCACAGCATCTGATGCCAGCTTACAAAAGAAACTTGGAAAATACACATTTTTGGCTAAAAATGCTTCAGAAATGAATACTACCTATAACCAAAAAGGTGTAGTTTTATACAGTGCTTCATGTGTCAGGTAGTCTCACTAAGACTTATTTAAATGCAGATCAGTTCAGTGTAAAAGAGGGAATTGGCACAGCTGCCATAAAACAGCTTTTTCTGGTGGCACAGCTGACATAAAACTTTCTGGTGGCACAGCTGACATAAAACAGTCTATTCAGATTAGGAAGTCATTAGGCAGCTGACAGGATACATGTATTTTCCCACCTGTCTACTCATGTAAAGGTCAGACTGCAAAATTAGCATAGAAAAATTAGATGGGACTCAGAATACTAAGGATGTTTGAGGGGCTTGATACTGGCGTTAACATAATTCTGCTTTCAAGTTTAATGGTACCATAGTTAAAATCAAACTACAGCCCTTTTTGCCTGACTAGTGCATTAACATTGTAACATAAGAGAAGCTTGGTGTTAGTTTACAAAAGATTCTGACAATTTCTTAGCTATTCTTTTGCCTTTCAAACAAGATGAGATATGAGATAGCATGTGAAGCAACACATTAATAACTCACAGAAAAAGCGATTGAAGTATTTTTACATTATTTCAGAATATATGATACAAAAAAGCAACAAGTTAGAAATGGACACCAGGACATACTTTGTAATTTGGCCAGGATATAAATTACCTCAGGAGATTTCTAAGGCAAATATGAGGATTAAAAGAAAGTTTAGAGCTGGGTGTTAATAGCAGAACAAATGATTTTTCACCAATTAACAAAGTACATTAACAGAGTGCAGTACTTCTGTCACTGTTTTGTGTTCTATCATTTATTTTTAAATAAATGCAAATAATAATTCTGATACTTAATTTTGTAAGGACTGAGCATGGCACGGACCAACCATAGAAAACTGCAACTCACAGATCGCTCTACTACTCAGATGCAGTAGCTGGGTATAAAAATGTCAGTTGCTAAGATTTTTAATACCTCAGAGCATAGGGTATTTGTCAGTTCATGTGCAACACTCAGCACATCCCAGAAACAAGCTTTAAAAAGATAGAGTTCAGCTGCAGATGCAAATTATTTTATCTCCTTACTTGTAAAGCACTACATTATTCCCAAATACTTGATCATATTCTGTTGAGATTCAATTTGTGTGTGTTCCATCATTTGCGGTATTTCTAATTGAATTGATCTCCACAGATTTTCCACTAATTAAGTATATATAAATCATACAGCCTTTCTGAGTGCTGGGAGACATGAGTCTCATATGGAATGTCTGTCTGAGGAGAAATTCTAAAATACCAAAATATAATCTATCATCTCAAATCAGGATAAAATGTTACCATTCAGTTTGTAATTTTTTTTTTTTTTGCCTTTGGTACGGTTTCTAATATAAATGTTGACTATTTATCATTTACAAACACTTAAATAATTAATTCAGAATGGATTGCTTCCATAATCTCCCCTTCAGGATGTTTACAAGGTCGTATGTTTCCTTGAAATGATTCTATTTCATTAAAAATCATTCTATCAGAAAATAATTGATCTGATTTATGAACATTATGGCTATTATTTACATTTATCAATATTAAAGGTGGTATTTCTTGACAAGATTTAAAACTGAGGCTCTGATCATTTATGTCAATATAAATTCCTATGCCATATTTGTAGAATGAGTATTCTTTGCTTACTATTTATTCAGCTGTCAGTATAGGGGAATCACACCCTGCTTCCCTAAGCTCTTTCTGCAATTTCATAGGGTTGTCCTATTCCTCTTGAACTCCTAATCTAAAAGATAGCAGATTTAGGAATCATTAACTTTGTGGTAGTTTTCATATCTATTGTTCTCTGCAGCTATTAAAACCCTACTCCAAGTAGTCTCCAAAGATTAGCATGAGAATTTTATACACTAC